TGGAAGTTAAACACATGAAAGGTCAGATTCCTGCCCCTGAGGAAGAATAACCCCAGGCACCAGGACAGGCTGGGGGCTGACTGGCTGGAGAGCACCTCTGCAGATGAAGACCTGGGGGTCCTGGTAGACAAGAACAACACGGACCAGCAACGTGCTCTAGTGCTAAAGGCCAATGACATCCTGGGCTGCCAGCAGGTCGAGGGAGGTGATCCTTCCCCTCTGCTCAGCCCTGGCGAGGCCACATCTGGAGTGCTGGGTCCAATTCTGTCCTCCCCAGGACAAGAGAGGCATGGAACTGCCAGAGCAAGTCCAGCAAAGAGTAACAGAGATGAAGGGACTGGAGCATCTCTCATATGAGGAGATGCTGAGCAAGCTGGGATTGTCGAGCCTGGAGAAGAGAAGGCTCATGGGATTCTCATCAATGTTTATAAATCTCTGAAGGGAGGGTGCAAAGAGGACTGAGCGAGAGACTCTCAGCGGTGCCCACTGACAGGACAAGAGGAAATGGGAACAAACACAGGAGATTCCAGCTGAATAAAAGAAAATTTCCTGTGAGGATGATTTAACGCTGAAACAGGTTGCCCAGAGGAGCTGTAGAGTCTCCATCCTGGGAGATATTCAAAACCAACTGGATGCAGTGCTGAGCAAACTGCTCTAGCTGGAGAAGGGGGTTGGACCAGATGATCTCCAAAGGTTCCTGCCAACCTCAACTGTTCTGTGATTCTGAGAAGAGGCAGCTCCCTCCCACAAAAGGGTTCAGAAGTGATGGAAAGTGTCGCCAGCCCATCTCAGGCAAAAAGCAGCTGCCAGGGCTGAGGCAGAGGCAGGACCTGCCTCTGGGACACAGGCTCCTACAGGACAAGGGGGAAAGCTGCAGAGGCCCGTGCTGAGGACAGCAGGGATATGCATCCATGCAGAACACAGACTGAAAATCCAGGGAGACCAGCCCTGATGCCAAATTACACTCGCTCCATTTGTGCTGAGCTACCTCAAGATAAAACTTGTCTGCAATTGTGAGCAAGCCCTGGCTGTTTGCTAGCAAAGCAAACTTACTGCTTTTTCTGCAGGAAAGGTGCCAAGCCCCAGACCTCCACAACGACGCTGGAACACCTATTTGGAGGCCCACATCTGGAGTCATCTCAAGATACCCAAGCTCACCCCTCTCCAGGCTTACCAAGGGGACGTCTCTGCACAGCTAAGCTGCAAGCAGCAAAATCTCCAGGCACACAGAGCTAAGACTCCCAGCCCAAACTGGAGCTAGTCCACAGAGATGGGTGCCCTATACTCAGTAGTAGCTGTATTGCTCTTGCATTTAAACATCTTTCTAGCTCAATATGTAGTTCTGGTCCTTCCCTCAATTGCCCTAGTTCCACCCCAGAGTAAATTATTCCGCTGAGCTTCCTAATAGAAAGAAGGTTTCCAGTGAGCTCTTGGCTGAACCTGACCTAGAACATGGTCAAATCCAAAATATGCCAGTCACAGGGTTGCCTCAGTTTTGGCATCAACACCTCTGATGAATGCATAGGTGCACATTTCATTCGCTGAGTCGCCTACCCAGGCCTGGACTGGTACATCCAAGTATTCAGGCCGGTGCACAAAGTCATGTAACACAGAAGGATAAGCCGAGTGCTGGCGGGTACTCACTTCCCAGAGGACAACCCATTTTGAGCAATTCCTATCCCTCTTCTTAAAACACAGGCACATGGGAAGTTTAACATGGAGCTAATCTCAGGAGAGAACAGCAGAGCGGCCCAGAAACCGGCAGCAGAATGCAACCACTGCCCCATCTCTAAGCCCGTTTCTCTTACTGTTACTCTTGCCATGACTGGATGGTGGCTTAAAGCTAACCATATGAAGCAAGCTGATCTACAAGCACGGAGTGGACGGAATTCATAAAACATTGTACTCAGTTTCTTGAGCGGTCTTAGTCACAAAAACCCACTGCAGGTTGGGGAAAGGCAGAGACAAGAGACTTCCCTAAGCCTCAGGGAGATTAATAGCTCCTTTACTTCTGCATGCTGATGCTGCAACATCAGCATGTGTGATCAGGCAGCTTTGCCAGGGAATAAATAAAAGGAAATCAAGTAGAAGTCCAAGCAAGTATTTACAAAATGAGATCCCCTCACAACTCCTGAGGCAAAGAACAAACTTGAGCTCCACAAAGTGTCCCCTGATGGGTGCAGTCTCAGGAGCAGCACAGCCTGGAGCCTCCCTGGAGGGACTCTGTAGCAGATCCTGCAGGAGCAAAAGCCAAAGCCCTCTGGCAGGATGAACAGGGACCTTATTCCCATCAAGTTGCGCACTTCCACCTCACAAGCTTTTTCATCAGTTTTTCAATAATAATTCTCCTTGGATATCAGTACAATTTCCAGGTGAAGTTGACTCCCGTACTGCTCTTTCTTTCACAGCGGCCAAACGCCACACAAGCACAGACCGGCCATTCTGGAAGGGTCCTGTCAGTCCAGGAAGAGAAGGTGCTTGCCCAAGTGAAAGCACACAACCCACGTTCCCTGGCAAGCAAGCGTCAGGAGATCAATGCTCCACCTTTGCCACTCTTCCTGTCCCACTTTTTTCCTCAGTACTGTAGGTTAATGCTAAAGCAACCGTGAGTCTCCCTTTAAGCATCCCACACAAGCCAGATCTTAAACCAGTTCTTCAAAGTAGCTCCTGTACGTTGCAGAAAATAACTCGCATGTTTTACTCCTTCCAAATCTGCAAACGTTACACGCCGACGTGCCCAGGTTGAACGTCACCCTGCTCAGCAGAGGCACTGGGGCAGGACGCGCTGCTCCCTATGGGACGGCTCAGCAGAAGGACAGGTAAGCTACTTCTGCCCATCCAGTTTCCAACATCTCCTTCTCCGCGTTCCCAAGTGCTCAACGCCGCACGGGGGGGGAACGGCCGGTCTCCCTGCTCGGCTCTCGTCCGGTCGCGCTCGCGGCGCTTGGGGAGCTGCACCTCCTCCCCGAGCACAGCCCCACGGCTCGCCG